ACGAGGCAGACGACGAAGTTTCGGTCCGTCCTGGACCATTCTCAAGTCAAGTCTTATATAACCAATTCCCTATTCTTGGTGATACGTAGCGTGTTTAGACCTAGTAAGGTTAAGGAAACATGCACTCTCTTGCACATTATATTGTAGAATGTCCCATATTGACTGACTCGCCCTCATGGGCTGAGGTATGTTGAACTCTGTAAATACTATATGAATACTGGAACACTTGATGATATATTGCACTTGTACCCAAGACTGACTATGGTATACATCTGTATATACAATATACATTATATAACAGATGCATTGCATATTGTATAGGTACAATGTATTAACTTTGGCTTTGGCCCCCTCCCTGGCTTTGTGCCCTGGTGAGGCCACTCCAGACCGACAACCAGAGCGCAACTCCATAGTCTCCTGAGACTGATGCTCAGCCCTTGGTCAATATTGAAGTCACCTCCCAGAACTATGTGATTTTTGTTGAAGTTGTTGTTTATGATAAGATTCCTCAAGTTGTCTGAGAATGCAGCTATGCTAGTTTTGGGAAATCTATAGATGGCTCCAATAGTCAAGGAGGATTTAAGGGATTTAATTGAAAATTGAGCAAAAGTATATTCACAGTAGTCATCTCTATCACTAATAACACTGTTGCAGAATAAGGTATCTTGGCAGTATATAGCTGTGCCTTGTAAATTAGCATTGTAAATATAGATTAACAGTGTAAAAGCACTAGAATCACCTGTGGTTGATTGTTCAGTAAATTAATTATATGTTTAACAGATCTCTAACCTTGTCCATGGAGGACAAAAGAAAATGTATCTATGCTGATTAGCATTGTAAATATTGTAAATGTGTGGCCACGTTTGGGGTAGAAAATAAAAGGTTTCCCTGGGCCAACTATAGACTTTTCTCAGAGTGCATGTTGTTGTTGTTGTTGTTATAGATTCAGCTACTCGGAACAGGTTCCAAGTAGCACGGGCTATGGTGAGCCCGTAACTTACCTGGCACAGGAGCGGGACAAGTAGCACGGGCTATGGTGAGCCCATAGTATACTTACCTGGCTCAGAGTGCAACCCGGGCCCTCTTGTATATTACTAGGTGAATAGAGGGATCAGGTGAAAGTCATTTTGGTTTGGGAAATTGATTATGCACCCAATACCCATCCTGTGGACGATAATGATAATCTTCTTTTATGTGCTAGCCATATGCTGTATTGTGACTACCAATTTTTGTCAACTACCATTCAAGCTGTCATTGCAATCAATCTTAGCTACCTATGTGCTTTAATATACTGTACCTACAATTTTCTCTCATCTTTTTTTTCATTTCATGTAACTGTTATCATTTTTTTTGTCTATAAATTTTGCAAGTATTTACCTCCTTAAAATTTTCTTAGATTAAGGACCTGCCCGAAACGCTGCGCGTGCTAGTGGCTTTACAAGACTGTAATTACCATATTTGTATCCTCACATTCCTTATGTACATTCTTGTATATGCATAAATAAATAAATAAATAAATAAATAAATGAAAAAGGTTACAGAGGCACAAGCTCAAGTAAATTTATTGCTTTTGTGATATACTCAATAATCCTTCATAAATAATAGTGTAGCAGCACACATCTGGGCGTACTAAAGCTTGTTAATAAAAAAAAGGATCAACCTACTTCCCACATATATATGTGGCTTTTTATATGCGTTTCACAATTCCAATATTGTTATATATTACATATAATCCACAAACTAAACAAATGGCAAGCACAGTTGAAAATATGCATAAATAAATAAAAGTCTTTACATATATTAAAATAAAGTAATTATTCTTATTATTATTATATATACAGGTATTTCATGAATTCAGTCCACTACGGGCTCACCATAGCCTGTGCTACTTGCCGCTCCTGCGCCAGGTAAGTCCACTACGGGCTCACCATAGCCTGTGCTACTTGCCGCTCCTGCGCCAGGTAAGTCCACTACGGGCTCACCATAGCCTGTGCTACTTGCCGCTCCTGCGCCAGGTAAGTCCACTACGGGCTCACCATAGCCCGTGCTATTTGGAACTTTTGTTCTGAGTAGCTGAATCTAAAACAACAACAAGAGGCGCAGATCACAAGGTCTGTACTCTGCTGGAGGTGTTTGTCTGATTACGGGGAGGGGGGGGGGGAAGGGAGTGTTGGAAATAGCCTAAGCTTCTCTATCCCTTTGAGACATATTTTTTTCTTGTCTCAATCAACGTACTTGAACTTGAACTTGTCTGATTCCAATGACAAGCGATTAACCATTTTTCTGATACCAATGACAGTACCTAAACTTTGAAAATGGGAAACTAAAAGCCAAACAAAGTGTTTAAATGAATTATTTTAAGTCCAGCAATTTCAAGGCTAGTTCACCATTAAAGGAATAGCGTTTTCTATTATGACTCGTTTTCTAAACCTGCTTCATGTAATGAGAGACTTGCCCAGCCGAAAGAAAATGTAATTTTGCTAAATAAAGCGATCGCTCATATAGTTTGCGCTAAATAACCATATAGATATTTTATATATAAATACATTACAAAATTAATACAATTAAAATTAAACTATTTCCAAATAATATACCCTTTAATGCTAGTATTCTTTAAATAATTGTATAATAATCGTCAATTTATAAAGTAAATATAATTAATTTATGTATGATTCAAACTGTCCTCGCTTCGGCACCTAGTTGTGCTTACTGCTTTATTTTTAAAGTCTTCCAATAATTATTGGTTGATTAAATTAAATTTTTATTAAACTATTTACATTAAGTATTATGCCAAGCACTGTTAATATTATTGACAAACGTATAGGTGTAAGAGACAGTTTTATATGACAAATTTCATATTCTTTGTGATACGTAGCGTGTTTAGGCCTATCTTGAAATGATTTCGGGGCTTAGCGTCCTCACGGCCCGGTCCTCGAACAGGCCTCCTTTTTGTTACAAACCCCTAGAAAGCAGCCCGTAGCAGCTGTCTAATTTCCAGATACCTATTTTTACTGTTCGGTGAACAGGGGCATTAGTGTGGAAGAAACTCTGCCCATTTGTTTCCGCCTCCATCGGGGATCGAACCCGGAGTTTCTGGACTACGAATCCGAAGCGCTGTCCACTCAGCTGTCAGGCCTCTTTAAGGTTAAGGCCTAGTAAGGTTAAGAAAACATGCACTCTCTTGCACATTATATTGTAGAATGTCCCATATTGACTGACTTGCCCTCATGGGGTGAGGTATGTTGAACTCTGTCAATTCTATATCAATACTGGAACACTTGATATATTGAACTTGTTCCCAAGATCGACTATGTAATACATCTGTTATACAATATACATTGTATAACAGATGTATTACATATTGTATAGGTACAATGTACCTATACAATATGGTTAACCTAGTATATAGGTTAACCTACTCTGGGCGCCTGACAGCTAGGTAGACAGAGCTACGGATTCGTAGTCCTGAGGTTCCGGGTTCGATCCCCGGTGGAGGCGGAAACAAATGGGCAAAATGTTTCTTTCACCCTGATGTTCCTCTTATCTAGCAGTAAATAGGCATCTGTGAGTTAGACAGATGCTACAGGCTGCTTCCTGGGGGTGTGTAACAAAAAAGGAGGCCTGGTCGAGGACCGGGCCGCAGGGACGCTAAGCCCCGAAATCATCTCAAGATAACCTGACAATACCTAAACTTTAAAAATGGGAAACTAAAAACCAAACCAAGTGTTTAATGAATTATAATTCAGGCAATTTCAGAGCTAGTACTCCGGTAAGGGAACAGCGTTTCTATTATGACTCGTTTTCTAAAACTGCTTCATGTAATACGAGACTTGCCCAGCCGAAAGAAAATGAAATGTTCATTAAATAAAGCGATCGCTTATTTAGTTTGCGATAAATAACCATATAGTTAATTTAAGTTAATTATAAAATTAATACAATTAAAATTAAACTATTTAAAAATATTATACCCTTTAATGTTAGTAATCTTTAAATAATTGTATAATAACCGTCAATTTATAAAGCAAAAATATTTAATTTATGTTTGGATTAAAGCTGTATTCATATACCTATAGATTAAAGATATATTAACATACCTACCTAGTTGTGCTTACTTATCTATTTTTAAAGTCTTTCAATAATTATTGGTTGACTAAATAATATTAGTATAAAAGTGTGTACATTAAGTATTATGCCAAGCACTGGCAGTAATCTTAATGACAGACGTATAAGTGTCACACACTTACTCACTAACTCTTCGCTAAGATATGCAAGATATTATACAAGAATATAAAGTAAGAACGAGAACAATCACCTGTGGTTGATTGTTCAGTATATCACTGAATTATGTTTAACAGATCTCTAACCTTGTCCATGGAGGACAAAAGAAATGTATATATGCTGATTAGCATTGTAAATATTGTAAATGTGTGCCCACGTTTGTGGTAGAAAAAAAAGTTTCCGTGAGCCAAGCACAGACTTTTCTCAGAGTGCAACCCGGGCCCCTGTGTATTACTAGGTGAACAGAGGTATCAGGTGAAAGTCATTTTGGTTTGGGAAATTTATTATGCACCCCATACCCATCCTGTGGACGATTGTAAAAAAAAGGTTTCAGAGGCACAGTAAATGCCAAGTAAATTTATTGCTTTTGTGATATACTCAATAATCCTTTATAAATAATAGTGTAGCAGCACACATCTGGGCGTACTAAAGCTTGTAAATAAAAAAAAGGAATCAACCTACTTCCCACATATATATGTGGCTCTTTATACGCGTCTCACAATTCCAATATTGTTATATATTACATATAATCCACAAGCTAAACAAATGACAAGCACATCTTGAAAGTAAGCATAAATATAAAATGTCTTTAACATTTATTAAAATAAAGTAATTATTCATAATTACTATTATATTTATTTAATGAATTATCATATTCTTTCTCTTAGCTATGGAGTTAGACGAGAGATTCGGGAAGACAAAAAGAGCATCAGCGACAGTTTCCGGAGAAGGTATAAAGTGCGGAGAGTATAGAGGCGCAGATCACGAGGTCTATACTCTGCTGGAGGTGTTTGTTTACAGTGAGGGAGATGTAAAAGGTGTATGTGTCTCTCACTGCTGGGCACACCATGGACAAGCTCACCATCATCTCCGGGGCACTGTTCCTGGCCGCCGACATCTTCGCCGTGGTCAGCCTCGCCATGCCCGACTGGATCGTCTCTGATATCGGAGGTGACACCAAATTTTGGTTTTTGTCATTCTTATTTTTGTTTACGCATTTATTTTTATCATATAATATTCCCAAATCATTAATGAATTTGCTGTCGCAAAACATAAGTATATACAGAAATTAGTTCTAAAAATTAATTGGTGTGTTAATACAGAGAACGTGAAAAACTGTATTCCTCGGGAACCTTTTATTTATTTATTTTTATTTATTTATATATAAGGAGGTACATTGGGTTAGAGAGAATACATAGCATAGTATTTACAATCTAGTAAAGCCACTAGTACGCGCAGCATTTCGGGCAGAGTTTTCGACACAGCCCTATCACCCTTGTGCTGCTCAGTGCAGCAAGTATTTGTTTATATGAATTATATTATATATATGAATTTGTGTAGCCTAGCATGGTGACCTGTGGAGTCTGATTCCCGTGTGCATTAGTGTAGTCGACTTACAAATAATAGGTCCTAGGTTCAGTTCATGAGCAGGATGAGGCATTTGGGCACTCATCCTTGTAAGCATTCTATGGCCTATGCTCGTGTAGCAGCAAATAAGCCCCCAGGAATTAGGTAACTGTTGTGGGTTGCACCCTGGGAAAGGTCAGTCATTGGGGGACCTCAGTGAGCCTAACAGGCTTCCTGCCCCAACAGTGGAAAAACTGTGAAATCAAATTAATTTTGAAATAAAATCAGCATTTATGGTAAGTAGGTTTATTTACCAGTAATCTAATAATATTTATACTTATTGGTTTGCATTTAGCCAGAAATAGGGTCTCATAAAATAGTTGGCTTCATTCTAAACTTAAAATTGGGGGTCCTGGGTTCGATTCCCGGGTGGAACAAAAATACGTTTGGACACGTTGCCTTTCACCTAATGCATTTGTTCACTTAGCAGTCAGTAGGTACCTGGGAGTTAGGCAATTGTTTTGGGGTTGCATCCTGCAGAGGGTCAGTAATTTAATCTTGGGGGGGGGGGGAATGCTATACCAGCCTAAAGAATATATATATACGGGCTTACTGCCCTTGACAATGGAAATTATAATTATAAAATTATATATAGGAATAATTAGAATGAATCTGTGTGCTCCATTCTCTTGTTTGCTCATAAATCTAAAAATCTAATTTAGCAACTACTCTACTTATAAAATATCCAAGGGTCATAAAGTAATATTATGTGATATAGTTGCTAATCTGTGGATATTTAAGTTTAGTCTACTATTACGTCATTCTGGGAGTAAGTATTATACTGTACTTGTGGAACAGTCTACCCATTAAAGCCATAAAAAAGGAACAATTTTAAAATTTGAAATTTATATTTATAGTACAATACCTGGAAACATTTGTGTGGCAAAATAGGAGTTATCTTGAGTTATCTTGAGATGATTTTGGGGCTTTAGTGTCCCCGCGGCCCGGTCCTCGACCAGGCCTCCACCCCCAGGAAGCAGCCCGTGACAGCTGACTAACACCCAGGTACCTATTTACTGCTAGGTAACAGGGGCATAGGGTGAAAGAAACTGCCCATTGTTTCTCGCCGGCGCCCCGGGATCGAACCCGGGACCACAGGATCACAGTCCAGCGTGCTGTCCGCTCGGCCGACCGACTCCCTTATCATGTATCATGAACCATAGGCTTGTTGACCCAACTGGACCACTATAGAAATTGCCCATTGGGAAATTGAGGTGTATATTGAGATAATACCTTGCATATGAAGCTCACATGATTACTTTGAAATTTTAATAATAATTACAATTGCAGGAGATACGCGACTTGGGCTCCTGTGGACATGTGAAACTCTCCACAACAGGTCTCAGGTAATGTAGTGGACCAAGACAATCTACAATCTGAAATCAACATTCTTGTCACAATGGTTTTTATTTTTCACATTTAATTTAAATATTTAAAATGAATACAGTGGAGTATGGATGAATGAAGATAAGCTATGCTTAAAGTGTTATTTACAACCATTATCTGACCTAAGCTTCAGTCTACAACGGTGATAAGAAGTACAGGTATGTCAATAAATTTTAAAAGGTATACGTTTATTGACAAGGATGCTTTTCTCAAAATTGGCAAAAAAAAGAATTGGAGGGCGTCAACTGATTTGTGCAGCATTACGGAGTGATAGCTCTTTATTTCCTTACTAGCCATTCCTGTTGCTCATGTTTTGTGACTAGGTTGCTGTCTCAGATTTTGCCAAGACAGTTTGTTTGGGTTACCCATAGGCTGTTGCCTCCTTTTGCACCTGTGTTGGCTTTCAGTCTTCTCTTGGGTTGAATATGCTATTTCATGCTACCTTCCAGGCTGTCACCTGGTGCTGCTGTTGACGACTTTTGCTACTGCCAGGTGCCACACTTGGGGTTTATCTTCTTTCACTTCTTGTTACATGTCATGCACCATGTGGTGTCCAAGAAGTGCTGTCTGGTGTTTTATCTATTGACATCCTTCTTTGTTTCTCTGGAGCTTGCACCTGAATTTTCCAGTCTTGTGTTTAGGCAGTTGTAGGCATTGATCCACTTCTTTCAGATTTGAATAGTGTCTTGAGCAGTTTTTTTGAGTGCTGTCCTATTATTATTACTCCCTGCATAATGAATCTTCAATTTAGGGTTCCTTCATCAGATTTGTTCTGATGGGTCCTTTTTCCTTTTAAAATAAGATTTCAAGTCTAGGCATAGGAAGTATGCTAGATGTAACTAAATCTGCAGGCGATGAGTCACAATAACGTGGCTAAAGTATGTTGACCAGACCACACACTAGAAGGTGAAGGGACGACGATGTTTCGGTCCGTCCTGGACCATTCTCAAGTCGATTCAACTTGAGAATGGTCCAGGACGGACCGAAACTTCATCGTCCCTTCACCTTCTAGTGTGTAGCTAAATCTCTTTACAATCAAATTCTCTTGGTACTTGTCCTTTATATGATAGGTTGAAATTAAAATTTCACTGTGAAATCAGCCCATAGAGCATGAGAAATATTAGTGTATGAATTGCTGTAACGTGGCTGAAGATATGATGACCAAACCACATATCATAAGAGAAACGACGACATTTTGGTCCATCCTGGACCATTGTCACGTCATGTGTGTCATGATTTGATAATGGTCCAGGACGGACCAAAATGTTATTTCTCCATCTTTTGATGTGTGGTTTGGTCATCAAGATCATATTAGTTACATAAGTTTCATGAGAAAATTATACAGTAATGCAAAATACAGTCAGTGCCTCATCACTTGTAAAAAGCTAACTTTCTACTTGTTTTCTAGGTGTGTTATGCCCCCTCTCTAGGAGGAGCATGGCTGGTGACACTGGGCTGTGTGCTGCTGGGGTGTGTGTGTGTCACTGCCACCATTGTACTCTTGGCACTCTCACACTGTCGACTCGGTGTATATGTCTTGACATATGCCCGATGGGTTGGTTTCACTGCTAGTAAGTGCACTCCTAGTTATTCATTTGTTCACACTTAAGGAATACCAAGAATCTTTAGTTTTTGTCAGCTTTTACCACTTACAAACTCTCCTTCACATGCATTCAATTTTGTTTTTGTTGAGTTCTTGTGAGTGGAGTGCATGTGTGTGTGAATGTGTGTGAGAATTTGTGTGTGTATTCACCTAGTTGTTCTTGCAGGGATTGAGTTCTGCTCTTTTGGCCCGTCTCTCAACTGTCAATCAATCAACTGTAACTACTAACTAATCCCCCCCCCCCTTCCCTAGGAAGCAGCTCCATAACAGCTGTCTAACTACCAGGTAACTATTTACTGTTAGGTAACAGGGGCATCAGGGTGAAAGAAACTTTGCCCATTTATTTCTGCTTGGTCCAGGAAACGAACACAGGCCACAGAATTATGAGTCCTGCGCGCTGTCCGCTCAGCTACCAGACGCTGTGTGTGTGTGAATGATATAAATGCTGAGGAAATGTTAATTTGTTTACTATTTAATTTAAGAGGATTGAGTGCTACATAATCTTCCTGGCTTGGCACCTTCTTTTGATAATTACTTTTGAGGATTAAAATTTATCAGTTATGTTACATTTATAAGTAGATTTAGAGGTTACTTTAGTGTATCTGTATTCACTCTCTCTCTCTCTTGATTTCTCATAATCTGTATTTGTCAATATAAGCCTAGTGCAAAATAAATTATGACCATAAAAGTCTATAAAGGAATTATTTACCTGTTGGTATTATTACTAAAACCAACAGTAAAATAATGACTGATACATACACTACTTGACACTAGCCATTGGTGAATGCAGTTAGGACAGTAAAGCATTTCAGTATAATACACATGAGCGGGACACCCTAAAGTTATTGCGGAGCCTCATATAAATACAATACCCCAAAACTCCATGAACTCAATAAAACAATAAAACTCATCAATAAAACTCCATTTTATTAATGAAATCTTATGTATGTGTGTGTTTTTGTGCCCAATCTTGTTACTATTTAAATATAAAAATCTACCAGGATAACTGTGGTTAGTTTGATTAGTGGTTTTAGCAGTAAATAATAATGAGTGATTAATAGTACAACTATATTCACTTCCACACACGAACTAAAGATATCTCCTGTAGAAATATATGCTTTTGTACTTGATGTGAACTGCCTCATAATTGAGTCTGAGTTTTTATAGTTAGGAACTATAGAAACCCGTTGATGTATAGCGAAGACATTCACATATCAGTGATTTTATAATTTTGTTAATCATCAATTCCAATAACAATGTTTTCCATTACATAAATGATTTCATTCAGTCTCTTATCATATTTATTAATGAAGGGTGTTGCTTATTCTCAGTGGTGCTGTTTTGTCTTGCGGCAGTTGTCTTTCCAATGGGCTTTTACGTGGAAGAGATCGGAGGTGAACCATATCAGTTGCCGAACAGCTTTCAGGTACAGTGTATGTTAAACTATGTACAGTCTTGTGTAAAAGCTCGACAATTCTATACAGAATGATGGATTTCAAATTTGTTTTCCCCACAAGGAAGTGGAGGGCATTAAATATCTGTGCTGAACAAACCTACAATATATACTTTTTTCCACAGGTTGGATACTCGTACATATTCTTTGTCTTGGCACTATGGATGACAGTGGTATCCGAGCTGTTCGCAGGAAAGGTTTGCCTGCCTCACTTTTAAGTTGTATAATGAGTTATGTAGTTCTCTTGTATAATTTTCTGGGAACTAACTGCTCCTTTATTTTATATAGTGCTTTCTATAAACTATTGTAATTTACTGTATTGTATGTAAATATTCTATTTTTTTACACGGCTGTTATTGTTATTACTGGCATCTCTGTTACCTCACCAGTACTACACAGCCTAAAGTAAGTTAATTTATCATTACTCATAGCTCTTGATTATTTATGAATGGGGTTCTACACTTTATGTAAAATTGTTGATGAAAATGAGTATGTTCTGTTTATATAAATACACTAATTGCATGATATACATACATATATATGTACATACATATACACACACATACATACTTGATCTCACAATGATTATTTGCTCTTACTACATCCCATTATGTTAAGAATGGTCTGTAATGGAATGAGTTTGTATTCTCTTATAGCCTGATATGTGCTTTAAATGCAAAAAATTTAGGTGCACATATATATTTTTTTCTTAGAGGGTATCCTTACACCTATTTGTTATTTATGTAGAAGGTTCTAACATTGTTTGTGTTTTCAATATTATAGGGATGTGACGTGTATCTGGTTTCGTTTATGAGACACACATGAATATAAATCCTCAATATAAAACAAATGTTTTATATTACGGATTTATTAATTGATAATTGTCTTTACCCAGACTTTGAATAGCTCAGCACTGATAAATGACACTATTTTTGTATTATATTTTAGTTTCTTCTTTAACATTTTTGTTACATGTCTGTAGGTCATGTGAAGTGATGCTGAAAACTGGGGTTAGATGCTTTGTTAATCACTGAGCACATGTCCTCACTGATAATAGTAATACCCGTAATACATTCTAATGATAATCACTGTGCCATAAAAAATCTGCACCTCCATAAAACAGATAACATATCAAAGCCTCCCACTGGATCTCCCATTGAAATTTCAGATTTGTCAGGAATATGTCTACAAACCATATCTCTTGTATTATTAATTGGAGCAGATTCAATTTTGAGTGTTGAGGAAAACTTGAGACTGAAAGTCATGAGTTCAAAATACTCTAGTGACACATCTTAAAATACTGTTGTCATAGGATTAATAAAAAACATGAAAATCTTAAAATAATGAATCAGTTTGGGGTGTAGGAAAGTCAATGGACCTATTTTGAAAGAAATTGTATGGCTGGCTTTCGTTTTGGAAGTGGTGAATTTCGATAAGTTCATTCAATGAAATTTTGCATTTGACTTGAAGGTGCCAGTAATGTTATTCAGAAAATAGTTATGAAATCAATTATTATTTAACCAATTATAAATCCTTAATTATTTCTTGGAACGAGTTATAAAGATGTTTTGAAAACCATCTTGATCTAAAGAGAGTTTTGGGCATGTGAAAGTCAATGGGCCTGGTTCATTTACATCATTTGAGGGTCATGGCCCTACCTTTGAAAAATAAAATTGTAGGGGCTGGATCGTAGGAAATGTTGGAGATAAGAGGGAAGTCTGTTTACAGGCAGGTTCTCCTTGTAGATGTCCATTGTAGCCAATGTAGGTGCCATCAGTCATGGTAACTTCATGGAGCCACCGAGGCTTATCAAGAAATTGGCATTTCATTACATTCAACTCTTTTTTTTTTTTTTGTAGATGAACACAACAATTTGGGCCTTGGGAAAGACATTGAGCATATTTTACACAAAACTGTGTTGTCCATTTTTATGAAAAATATAAAAATCTGATGATAAACAGCCCCAAAAAATACCATTATCAATAATTCCAGAATACAGTATTCTGAAATCCTGACGTAGTTCTGGAAAGATATGCTCTGAATTTTAGATGTTGCACTGAAAATATTTATTGGCATCTTGAGTAGCTGGTACTATAGTACTGTAGCTTATTTTTCTTGAAGTGGCACCTACAGAATGATGCCTAATGCTTAAAGAAATGAGTAATACTATGAGTAGTACTAAAACCAAAGGTAATGATTTTTAACTTGTAATTGTTAGACTAGTTTATATATATATAGAGTTAATTTATTTTGTAAATATACAGTAGTTATTTAGAGGCCTTTTTTGTGATTTGAGAAAGTTTTCCTAAACATAATAGGGAAGCACTCACAACAACATCAGAGATGAAGAATTCTAGTGAATGTTTCCCACAGTGATGTCATCTAGTTATTTTACTTAGAGATACACTCTGATAATGTGCAGTAAACTGCCCCTTATCCAGCATCAAAACACCTTAAAACATATGATTTTACTTCTCATTGATACTTCCTGTTATTTCTTAGCTGAGGCACTTGTCTTGCATTTGCTACTTATTGTTTTAGGGTTTTGATCAAGTTTACATTAAGAAATATTGTTAAAATTCATCAATTTGTCAGTAACTTGTATGTGAATAAGTGTAATATAGCATATAATGAGGATTCCCGTATGTTCTTCAATATATTCCAAGCATTTATACATTTTGTTATCAGACATTCTTTTCAAAGTTAATTTATTCTAAGAAAATGTAAATATACAGTACCATATTTAGTTAATTACAGTAGTTACAGTATTAACTAACTACTGTAAAAACTAAATACTACTAACTACTGTACTGTAAAACTAACTACCATACAGTAGTTACAGTATCTGGAAGTACGGTATTTTGTATTTTTATTTTTGTACAATGTATGCACTCTAGTTTGAACTAATTGAGTCCAGGCCCATTTATGCAGTATAGTACTGTACTATACATTACACAATGTTTTTAAGCAGATCATAATTTTTGGAGCAATAATTTTTGTTGCATTATACCTGGTCCAAATGCTAGTACAGTACATATATTTGTCCATATTTTGATAGCAAACAGACACACAAAAAGTAAGTTTTCAGTACAACACAGTATACATAATTACTACTGATTGTAAAACATTTTAACCAGTCTGAAGTTTATCAATCAATTCAACATTTACAGAACTGTTAAGGTAGTGTATCCTTTTTCTTACCCCTTTCACACTGATTAATGCTCTTCTTAGTCATCTTGTTTAGCTAAAACTTTGTTCAGTTTAGGTTGCTTTAAACTATATAAACCAATAAAATTCTTGAGTTGAAGATCTTTACCTTGTTGAAGACACAATGGGAAGCTGGTTTGAGCATGGTAGACACATTCCTGTCATGTCTGTAGGGTACCAGAATACAGTATAAGGAAGCATCCATGTACGTTATTATATTGGCAGGCAAATACAGGTTTACATTTCTAACACACAAATAATTGGTAGTATTTGTTTAATTGCAATGCAGTAACTAGTACTGTAATGTATTTGTTATTATTTTATTGTAATATTTTTGTGCCATAGTACAATATCTGATAGATGGCCTACTTCGTGCGCAGTGATCGGTTATCTTGAGATGATTTCGGGGCTTTTTAGTGTCCCCGCGGCCCGGTCCTCGACCAGGCCTCCACCCCCAGGAAGCAGCCCGTGACAGCTGACTAACACCCAGGTACCTATTTTACTGCTAGGTAACAGGGGCATAGGGTGAAAGAAACTCTGCCCATTGTTTCTCGCCGGTGCTTGGGATCGAACCGAGGACCACAGGATCACAAGTCCAATGTGCTGTCCGCTTGGCCGACTGGCTCCCGTAAATGGTGTACCAACCACACATTACTCATAATTTGATTCTAATTCTGTTCCAATTACCAATAGTTTCAGTTGTCCAAGTTGTAGTTAGCAAGAATAGACTGGAATAACACTTCTTAGTGATCTGATTACACTGGTGAATATATTTGCACACACTGGACATAGCGATGCACAAAATATACATTGCTGACCAGACCACACACTAGAAGGTGAAGGGACGACGACGTTTCGTCATTTCTCAAGTCACAATCGACTTGAGAATGGTCCAGGACGGACCGAGACGTCGTCGTCCCTTCACCTTCTAGTGTGTGGTCTGGTCATCATACTTTTGCCACGTTATTGTGACTGATCGCCTGCAATATACATTGCTCTTACCAAAGTAATGATGTGCATTACATTAATGGTTGGTAATTCTTGTCTGCATGCTCTTGAAAATTAAATGTTTGTGTATGAGTAAACTGTATTCATTTTTTATGTTCATAGTTAATAATGTAATGAATTGATTTTTGTTAATTACCAAGTCACTAAAGTTAATAATGACACTTTGTGGTGTGTATATTTCCATTTTTCATAAAAAGAAAAACCTGTTTTTGAGATAATGGTCTTCTATTGTTGAAGACAGGAAGCCTATTAGACTTATTGAGGTACCCCTAGGCAACAAATGACCTTCCCCTGGATGCAGCCCACAATAGTCGACTAACTCTAGTATGCCTAGTTACTACTAGATGAATAGAGGCAGCAGGTAAATGGAAAACTGCCCAAATGTCTCTGTTCAGTATATACTATTTTCTCTTATTGTATCTTTACTCTTAATATATGTCTTAACAAAATTACAGACAGGAGAACAAATTGTGATATTAAGTTAGATTTTTTATATTTCTTCCATTCCATTAACTTGAAGATCTAATTTTTTTGGATTGTCTTTAAAAATAAACTTGTGATTATCATTATAGATAGGAATTATCTTGATCAGGAGTTGCAGAAATAGTTGGGGATTGTTTGCAGTTCTCCACATGGTATCGAAATGTTATAAAAAATTATAAAATCTTATAATATATGTGTTGTAAGATCTATAAGTTTAAGACTTTCCTTCATGAAATTAGCTTTAGTTTTTATTTCTGCGCAGTTTCATTCCCCAAGAGTTATAACCACTTTGGTGGGATGTTCATTCAATCCCTGACTGTCCTAGTGGTTGGGCACCATTCCTTCCCCCCGTCCCATCCCATATTCTTATCCTGATCTCTTCCAAGTGCTATATAGTCATAATGGTTTAGTGCTTTCCCCTGATACTTCCCTTTCCCAAAAGTTTCACTCCGAGTTTCCAAATAGAAATGCTGTGTCAGTACTAGAGCAAGTGCCCAGAGAGTGGTAACTGTTGATAGTCTCGTTGATACTTTGGGAACACAAGCTTTATGTTAAATGATGTAGGCATTGACGCAGTTGTCATCAAATGCAGTAATACCACTGTTCAGACCTATTGAATATGGTTTTATCACTAGCTAAAGTCATTTTGAGCTTTCATGAATTATAGTAAATATTAAGTTTCTATGATAGCTACCATAAGACATTTTAAATATTTGTAAATCCATTTTAATGAGTAAAAAAATTTATGTACAGGTATAAATATATACTGTACTGTATGTATGTGTGTATATACATACATGAAATATACGTGTAAATTGGTGGCTATGTATTTAGAGCTGTTGACAAATAAGCTTGACCTATTAAAGTAGGTTCCTGTACTGTACTATGATACTATGATATGATGGCATTTGTAGAAGTAAGAATCACAAGTTTATTTTTGCAGACTTTCTGACTATTGTATTATGAGAGGTAAATATGCTGATTGTTTTTATCGTCTGGGTATTTTTAATGTAATCCTCCTTTTTAGTGTATTTGGCTTCTTTTGAGGTATTTTTACACTTCTTGAAGCTGAGTGCTTTTACATTTCACATTTTTACATTTATTTCAGTGTTATTCACCCTCAGGTCTTTATCACAAAAATTCATTCACCTACGACAAAATTTCCATGTGGTTTTGGTAATTTTCATCTTGCTCCGAGTTGTATATAATTTTATAACGGTTCATTTTGTCATATGAGGAAAATGCATAAATTGACTCCGTTCATAGGGATTTATCCTATTCAAGTATTTGAATATCCTAAAAAAAAATATGTAAAGAAAACTAGCAGTGACAAAAAATGACACTTAGTATTGCAATGCCACAAGTGCAGCTTCTGAAATAAAAACTAAATAATAAAATCATGGTGTTTGTATAAGAGGCAGCAATGGTGTGCTTAAGGAGTGACCAGAATACCTTGAAGCCATCAAAATATGATCAGTTGGATAGGGCTGTTTACCAGACGTTTACACGGAATCATTTGATGGGGTACTTTATGGTGGCTCACCGGTACAGTTTGCAATGGAAAGAATAACAGGAAATTGATGTTGTGAACTTCAAGGGCAGTGCAGGGTAGCTTGCAGACATTTGGCAGGCACCATGCAATATTTCGATGAAAGATTGCTTGTAGAACATTGAATGCTGATGATGCGGCAGTGGTAACATTCAAGATAAAATTGCATGCTGTGATGGCCAAGCACATGGATAATTATTTCCAGGTCTACAATGAAGGTGCAACTGGATTAGTTTGAAGAGGTTTACCGTTAGAAATACATTCCTGGAAATGTAAACACTGATTCACTGCTACACAGGGCCATTATTGCAGTTGCAATATACTAGGGGCTAACTGAATTATAAAATAATACGGATTATACAATTTTATAAAAGCATTCTGTATTTTCAAATGGAATAATTATGAAATATTTAAATCTGGTAAGCTACTGTGTATTCAGTGTTCTGATGTACAGTATTTACAAGCAGTTCATAACATGTACAGTCTGCCCATCTTGTTTTTCTACTGTCACTCCAATATTAGGAACCTAATCCTCCAAATATAATTACTTACAGGAATGATAGATACAGAAGAATAAAATAAATGAAAAGTTTGTCATAAATTGACCCAAGGGACCACTATATCTTTAGTGGCTTCGACGGGGAGAGGAAGCTGGCGGCTTGTTGAAGGTCACCCTCCCATTGCAACATTGTTATTAGTACATCATTATAATGGTTACGTGTTATGTTATTCTGTTATGGTAGCTGTTTGGTAAATAGTATAGTGTACTGTAATTTTTGTGTAAACTTTAAATGTACAAACATTTAGGAATAAAATTTTGAATTAAATTGGAGAACTCGTGGGGTTAATATTTTATATACAGTATTAGGATCAAAGGTAGATGCCTCGGGGAAAATTATACAAGTTTATACAGGAGCCTGATCAACTATCTTGTGATGTGCCTCATAATAATGTTAAGATTGTCTAGGCTCTTTATTCTTCTGTACATGTTCTTAGTACTGTATGTATGCTCATTCTTAGGGCTGTGTGCCTATTCTTATGGCTGTGTTCTTGTTCTTAGAGCTTTGTGCATGCTCTTAAGGCTGTGTTTGATCAATCTTGCCTCAACTATTTAAACAAATACAAAATAGATTCTTTATAAAATATATAATCCAATCGCATGTTGTGAACAGCAGTAGTCTTGCAGATCAGGTGGTCACTGAAGAATCTTGGCAGTCTCTTTGTTGTCTCTCTCTCTTTATATAAATTTGTGTGTGTGTGTGTGTGTCCTTACCTCGTCTTTTGTGATAAGACATGGAAAATCCTTTTCAATTTCTTGTTTTAGTTTAGTTTTTCCAAGAGATAACCTCAGGTGTCTACCAGAAGGTTGTCTGTTATCTGGTTCTTCCCGTGGACCTGCTCCCCCTATCCTGTCCACCCCTTTACCCACACGTGTGTGTATGTGTAATACATCACACATACATACATACAGGAGTGTGTGTGTAGGAGTCAGCCGGCCGAGTGGACAGCACACCGGACACGTGATCCTGTGGTCCCGGGTTCAATTCCGGGCGCCGGCGAGAAACGATGGGTGAGTTTCTTTCACACTATGCCCCTGTTACCTAGCAGTAAATAGGTACCTGGGAGTTAGTCAGCTGTCACAGGCTGCTTCCTTGGGGGGTGTGTGTGGATAAAACACAAAATGGTCAGAAAACTAGTTCCCAAGCTGAGAGGTATGAGCTATGAAGAAAGACTGCTGAAATTAGACCTCACAGCACTGGAAGACAGAAGAGTTAGGGAAGACATGAATACCACCTACAAAATTCTCAGAGGAGAGTAGATAAGGACAAACTATTAGACCGGCCGGTATACAAACAAGGGGAAACCGAGTACCCAGAAAAACCACATAGACAATAGAAAGAATTTTTTTTAGTGTCAGAGTAGTTAACAAATGTATACCAGTTGAGAGACAAAATACACGCACACGTTAAACATGCAAAATGCATACAAAACCCGCACAGAGTGAAAGGTTAAAAAAGAACACATGTACGCATAGCATACATTTAATACACTATATACTGGCAAATAAATAGGTAGCGTGTAGAGGTGGCTGATGGTGGGGACAAATGAGCATCGCTCTCACCCACCCAAACACGCCTCAATAAATAAAACAGGATCCTGCAGTGCTAACACTAAGAAACATGATGTAACTGATCTGTGTTAATCATATAGAGAGAGTTTATGGGAATCATCAGGTAAACATTGAGAGGGTTTTTTATTCTTGGTCTAAGAGTAGGGTTTTGGGAACTTTGTTGGCACTCAAGTTTTAATAGACAGGTGCAGGCCACATTTTTTTCTAGTTTCAAAATAGTGAAAAGTTGTTAATCATCCTGCACATAATCTCCACAAGTGTCTTGTCCTCTGACCAGATACGTACAGGGCTTGTTTGAGTATGGCAATACAGTAGTTTGCCTGTGCTGAAGGAAGCCTTTTTTTAAAGCCTTTTATGTTGAGGTAATAGGACTCGGTTTTGTGTACTCGCTCCTGAAGGAGCCAATATCTCTCAAACTATTTTGTAACATTTTCATTGCGTTTAAATTTTGTAACAGTTGTAATGTGATTGGCTTAAATGTTTCACGTCTCCAGAGCTTGTGAATTTGCCATAAATATACGTGATTTTTAGAAACACGTTCACGTGTGCAGGAGTTCTGACATTGTGTCTGGAATGGGGACGGTGCAGGGAATGTGAACTGCATATATTTCTTTAGTTTATCTTGTCAGAATCTTCCTCCTTTTAAGCTGTACAGTATATCCTCTTAGTATGGCGTGCCTCGTCAAGGGTAACTCATATTTCTTCTTGCGACAAACATCAGAATTCATCGTTCAGGATTTGCTGAAGTCTAATGGCGGTTACCCAAAACATTTTAGCATCCCCCTAACAACATTAATTTCACCCAAAAATCCTATTTTTATTATTGCTAAACCTCTCTCTATGTTTATCTTAAAATCCCCATATTTCTTGCTTTATCCAAAATAACTTAACCTTTTATTCATTTAGAAAGCCCCTACACTGAAAAATATGATGCTGTTATGACATCATTTCGGCCCCAGCACTGGTAAACCCTTGTACTACCGGCTTAGGAATCATTATATCCCTTATATTAACTCAATGTATCATTTTCCTAGCGACTTACAAGTGTGATACTACGCTTATTGCTTTAAGTATCTTTTTATTTAGCGTCTTTCCGGGAAGAATAAGCGGTGTTGAATCTGGGGGGTAAAGCCTGTTTCAGAGGTCCCTGAGCCAGAGCCGAAGCCCGAGCGGGAGCTGATGGAGAAGGCAGGATCCCCGACTGGTTCTCCAGCTGCCTGGTTGGTCTTGGCGTTCCCTTCGATGGCGATGTCTGCGCAGTTCCTGAACATGATCTTCTGGGGCTTGAACTCCTCTGTATAGTGTGGGAGGTGTTCAACGGTGGTGATGGAGGGGTTTCAAGGTGGCGTCGAGGTGATTCAAGGTGGCGTCAAGGGGTTTCAAGGTGGCGTCGAGGGGTTTCAAGGTGGCGTCGAGGGGTTTCAAGGTGGCGTCGAGGTGATTCAAGATCCAAGGGTGGGTTGATAAGGGAAGGAGAGAGAGAGAAGTTGATTAAGTTGTTGTTCTCTTACATATTCTTGAAAGACGCCCCTTGGCGTTATATTTAGTCACAGGTTACACATTAATTATCCAAGGCAATGTTCATATTAAGTCATCATAAACATAATTTTAATTTGACAAACAATTTGTAATAAGTCACACCTTAACATGATGCACATTAATTGTTAATATGTTGAATTATAAAGCTTTTGTGTGGTCAGGGGGAAGGGTGCACGTGTGCATGGCATGTTGCTTCACGTGACCTTTGACCTACCTGCCGTGTTGGTCATCTGGAGGACACATTGGTCGCAGGCGACGCCGGGGGGCAGGCGGACCCTGACGGAGATCTGTTCAGGGCTGTTGTACGGCGCCCTGATCGGCACCGAGCGAGAGTTGCTTCCCACGATCTCCAGCGGATACCTGCCGGGGTAGGTGGGTGAGCCGGGGAAGTTGACGTGGTCACGGATGAAAGGGACAAAGATACGAAGGTGCGTACATTAAGATGGAAACAAAATGGAAAGCAGAAAGAGGCAAGAGAAGTAATGGGTGCCTAAATAAATGGGGAAAAGGAAACAAAGAATTTTTAAGCAAAACTTAAGAACATTTAAGTAAAAACCGAACTTAAAATGTTAAAATTACAAGTAAAATCACGACTGCGTGAATATAAACATTAAAGAAAGAAAAGAAAACATGTGGCAGCATTTTTGTTAGGAACATACTTGGGTTGATGTGCTACGTTCATATAGCTACCTGAGACTATGTGAAGGTTATACTCTGCGTCAATCGCTAGCTATGTCTTACTAAGACATATCCCCACCTCACAGGATACTTAGAAGTGGCTTCATATTATGTGCAACCCCTCTACCTACAGTTATACCTGGCTGTGGCTCTTTGCATTTTGTGAGTTAAATATCATTATTAGTAGTAGTACTAGTAACTAGTAGTAACGGTAGTAGTAGTAGTACTAGCAGTAAGTAGAAGTACTAGTACTACTAGTTGTAACAGTAGTAGTAGTAACTAGTAGCAGTAGTTGTTAGTTTAGTTCACTTATTATGCACCACATACCCGTCCTGTGGGCGGTAGTGGAAAGTATCACAGAGGCACAAAATCGGCTCAGGAACTGAACCCCAATGTTCAGTAAGCTAAGCAAGTTACAGTCTTGATGAGCTAGTTTAAAAAAATTAACATGATGCTTTGTTACATCAACAATGGGATCGAAACCGACCAGATGTACAGTTTCTAAATTAAGCAACGTACATATGTGGAGAGATAGTGTGATAACTGATGTATTTATCCTTTACACCGCCCCCTATCTTTCCCATTGTAACCTATCTACCGCTTCCGACACCATGGGAAGCGGTAGATAGGTTATAATCCCCACATTTATCTCCTTCAGCTAACAAACTGGAGATATTTAGCCAAAATTATAATTAATTTAGTATTATTGAATTAAAATTTGGCACGAAGAGAAAACGGGAAAGCAGTTACAGAAAACGTTTGGGAGGGTAGACTTACCTGTCGAGGCAGCGCTGGTCGACTGGGGTGGCAATGCTGTCGTGAGGACACAATTTGAACTCAATCGACCCTCCGTGACTCCTGGTGACATTGACGTGTATGTTCATCACCTAAGAGACATGGAAGGGCGTTAGTAAGGGGATTGGCAGGTGTCAGATATAGGAAGTTTTGATAAGAACAAGTCATATGTTGACCAGACCAAACTACACACTAAAAGGTGAAAGGACGACGACGTTTCGGTCCATCCTGGACCATTCTCAAGTTGATTTTCATATGCTATGGCGAGAAAGGTTTTGTGATGACGAGGCGGCTAGTATATGAACAGGTTTTTACCTCTCCGTTTCCAAAACAGCCCCACTCCTGTGCCAGGTAAGTTTACTACGGGCTCACCATAGCCCGTGCTACTTGGAACTTTTTGTTCCAAGTAGCTGAATCTTAAACAACAACAACTCTCCGTTTACGGGCTATTCATGCCCGTGCCACCTCTTGGGTGGCTTAATCTTCATCAATCATTCATCTCCGTGTACCTCCGTACCCTCGACCAGGAGGCCTGGTCGAGGGTACCAGTATTTCCTTACATGTCTTAGACTCATTTGTGTTTTCATATTCCATCTGTGTCTTAATTACGTGGTGAATATGACCCTGCCCCAGCCCATAGAGGTGTATAATGACTCACCTGCCCCATGGTGTAAGTCCTGGAGATGATGCCGGTAGCCCACTGACCCCCTCCCTCGTGGGGGTGGGGCGGGGGGGTGTCGGCACTATCCCCACAGGGGGGGCACTTGTTGCGGGCGCTCTTCTCGTGGCAGATGAGGTAGTCGTCGTCAGCGTGGGCGGGCAGATCGTTGAATCCCATCCTCCACATGACGTTCCTGGCCGGCGGCTCCTGCAGGGACATGTGTCCCGCAGCCTGTGACACACACAAAGATACATGGGTAAGAGACACGTGTTAAGATAGTCCAGGATGTGTGTTAGGGCAGGTGTGTTAGGGCAGGCAGGTTAGGTGTGTTAGGGCATGCTCTCTAGAGTGGAGTACTGCTGCACAATGACAGCCCCTTTCAAAGCTGGAGGAATTGCTGACCTGGAGAGCGTGCAGAGATCCTTTACTGCTAGAATCCACTCAGTAAAACATCTAAATTACTGGGACCGACTAAAGAGCTAAATCTGTACTCCCTTGAGCGCAGGCGGGAGAGATACATAATAATTTACACGTGGAAAATAATTGAGGGGCTGGTCCCAAACCTGCACACAGAAATAACATCACATGAGACCAGAAGACATGGCAGGATGTGCAGAATACCCCCGTTGAAAAGCAGAGGGGCAAATGGTACTCTGAGAGAGAGCTCTATCAACATCAGAGGCCCGAGACTGTTCAACACGCTTCCACTACACATAAGGGGCATAACTGGCCGACCCCTCACAGTGTTCAAGAGAGAACTGGATAAGCACCTCCAAAGGATACCTGATCAACCAGGCTGTGACTCATACGTCAGGCTGCGAGCAGCCGCGTCTAACAGCCTGGTTGATCAGTCCAGCAACCAGGAGGCCTGGTCGACGACCGGGCCGCGGGGACACTAAGACCCGGAAGCACCTCAAGGTAACCTCAAGGTAAGGGCAGCTTGAGACGTTAAGGTAACTTTAGACACCTGTTAAGGTAACCCAAAACACGTGCAAATGTTATGCAAACACAATTTAAAATTAAATATTATAACACTAATTAAGGATCACAAAGAAAAGGACACCAAATTAGACAAATTTGCGCCTTGAGAATCATGGACATACATGAAGACTTAAACAATTCGAGGAATAAATTTGGAAGCAAAATAGATTAAAAAGGTTGAGTGGCGGACGTCTTGACCTGCCCAACTGTAGAGCATCAGTTAACTGTACATCTTAAGAGCCCAACAAGTGTGAAAGAGTCGCTGGCTTGCACACTTACGCCAGCTTATGTCTTAGACTTATCACATTACCTTTTTTTACTGTAAATATTTGTGTTGTGCCTCTTACTGGTTAAGAGAATAACAACGAGATATTAATTGCATAAATGTAGATTCCGTCCCCGCGACTTAGCGTCCCCGCGGCCAGGCCTGGTCGACGACCGGGCCGCGGGGATGCTAAGCCCCGGAAGCACCTCAAGGTAACCTCCGTAAAGACCTGGATAAATACCGGTTTGGAAGGGAACTACCTGTATTAGGAGAAAGCACCGATTAAACCATTACGACTATATAGCACTTGGAAGGGATCAGGATAAGAATTTGGGATGGGACCCAACCACTTAAACGATCGGGGATTGAACGCCGATCTGCATGAACCGAGACCGTCGCTCTACCGCATACACGTTATGAATGAGTCATGGTGGATGTCAATAGGAGCTGTTGTGGCACAATTGACCCCCTGCCGTTTCCTTAATTCTTATATTATTTGACACGTAAACTATGTCGGGACAATTAGTCACACACCGGATCGTTACGTAATTGGGAGTGAAAGAACTAAGAATTTAGACAAATATATCATTAATATTCTAGAAATCTAGTATTGAAAAAGCATGTTGAGTGTTGTTGCAACTTCCCCCACCTCCGCCTGCCCACCAGGCCTATCATCAACGTGCTACACCAAAATGTCTCTAGTGCACCGCTAATGTAAATTGTACAGCTTAAGAAATCCGGGGGGAGGGGGGCAGTTCTTGAACCCATTACTAGACTAACCATTCCGTCGGCGCCCACACCACTTAAACTCGCGTGACGGTGTTTGGTTAAAAGTTATAACTTTTCCTCCTCCAGTGAGTGACAAGGAAGCAGAGTATCGAGACATTCGTATCTTCTTGAGGTTATCTTGAGATGATTTCGGGGCTTTAGTGTCCCCGCGGCCCGGTCCTCGACCAGGCCTCCACCCCCAGGAAGCAACCCGTGACAGCTGACTAACTCCCAGGTACCTATTTTACTGCTAGGTAACAGGGGCCATAGGGTGAAAGAAACTCTGCCCATTGTTTCTCGCCGGCGCCTGGGATCGAACCCAGGACCACAGGATCACAAGTCCAGCGTGCTGTCCGCTCGGCCGACCGGCTCCCTTAACGTATGTGGACACTTGTGCCTTATATTTATCCCTGAACATATCTGTATTGTTCTACTATGGCAGTATAAGACAGCAACACTATTAAAACCAAAAGGGTGTTTGAGATTTAGCTACTTACAACGAAGTGTCCATGTAGCACGGGCTATGGTGAGCCCGTGAACAGCCCGTATGGCTGGTGTGGTACACTTAACATATCGCGTATGATGGGGAGTGTCGCTTGTGAGCTACACACGACGGACTCCACGCCCAAGGCTGCAGGGTTGCCAGCCGGTAATTAGACAAGTGCCAGAAGAGCGGAGTGAAAGGCGCGCTGTACTGATCGGAAGTGGTTGTGCTGAAGGTCGTGGTCAGGGCCACGCATCACACTCCTCCAAACAAAAAAAAACAAAAAAAATATTCGACCCGTCTTTAAACTGTCAGGACCCATTCAAACCCGACTCGTCCATCTTGAAGCGACAAGAGCCTATCCTAAACCCGATCCATCCATGTTACAGGGACCGGAACCCATCCTAAACCCGACCCATCCATCTTACAGGGACCGGAACCCATCCTAAACCCGATCCATCCATCTTACAGGGACCGGAACCCATCCTAAACCCGATCCATCCATCTTACAGGGACCGGAACCCATCCTAAACCCGACCCATCCATCTTACAGGGACCGGAACCCATCCTAAACCCGACCCATCCATCTTACAGGGACCGGAACCCATCCTAAACCCGACCCATCCATCTTACAGGGACCGGAACCCATCCTAAACCCGACCCATCCATCTTACAGGGACCGGAACCCATCCTAAACCCGACCCATCCATCTTACAGGGACCGGAACCCATCCTAAACCCGACCCATCCATCTTACAGGGACCGGAACCCATCCTAAACCCGACCCATCCATCTTATGGCCACTTCATGGGAGGATCAGACTTGTCTCTTGATCACGTTCACCAACCAAGGTTCCTTATAGACCCTCGTCGTTGGTCACTTAAGAGCTGCCGTTGCATCGGTCCGTCGTGTGGCAGGGGCCGAGGCTGAGCTAGAACCATGCCCACTTTCTCTTCTCCAAGTTGTGTGAGTAGTGCTCATTTGCGCCCGTCATGGTACTGGGATTACTGTTCTGTTTCGTATTGGTTCATACCAAATTATTGCGCCCGTTTGGTTAGTATTGTGTCTTTGTGACTGTGCGAAACGTGGTTGTTGCAGAGTGGTCGTCTTGGAGAGCTGTGTTCTAGAGTTCTCGCCTGACCTAGTCTGGTTAGAAGGGATATGTCATGCGAGTAGTAGCTGTAGTTTAGTGATCTCAGAAGGAAGTGGCAAGGTCTTTGGCGAGATAGTGCCTGGGCTCCAGTATACTCTTTTTCCTGATACTTTCTCTCACTCACTCACAGATAACAAATGGAATGCACTAGGCAGTGATGTGGTGGAGGCTGACTCCATACACAGTTTCAAATGTAAATATGATAGAGCCCAGTAGGCTCAGGAATCTGTACAGCAGTTGATTGACAGTTGAGAGGCGGGAGCAAAGAGCCGGAGCTCAATCCCCGCAAGCACAACTAGGTGAGTACACACACAATATCCAAGGCAAGGATTTGGGCGGGATCCAAGAGGCAATACTAAATCCTGCAGGCACAAATAGGTGACTACACTTACACACAAACCCACCAAAAACTCTCTCTCCACACACACACACACACACACACACACACACACACACACACACACACACACACACACACACACCTTCCCCATATATCTGGCCCCCCTCCTACCCCTCTCCTCCCTTCCCTTCTCCCCCTAGTTAGTACTGGTAGGCATGTTAGGTGATGTCAAGTGTTACTGGTACACTGTTGACATTGTTTACGTGCCACATCTCTCTGGCGGTGTTTCAAGGCATCATGATGGAACTATTAATTCGCATGAGTAGTGTGAGTGGAGAGTGAGGAGAGAGCCTTGCGCTGCTCTGTCCTGCCTTCACCTCTCCAGACAGTAATAGTGACAGTAGTCACTGTTAGTTTACATAACAGTGCATAGTATTACCGGAAGTTACTATAGACATTATAAGACCTGTTGTGACGTGTTGAATTTTCTCCATTTACATTCCCCTTCCCCTCCCTAACCGCAACCTCACACACTCACCGCTCCCCTCACTGCTCCCCTCACCCCTCACCCAGCCACTCAGCTTTCCCCCCCCCAACCCTCATACCTCGTCATTCACCTGTTGTTGCATTCACTTGATCAGTTATGTCTTGAGATGAAGCAGCGTCGATCCTCAGGGAAGTGGGAAGGGGAAGGGGGGTGGAGAAGCAGTATAAGAAAAAGGAAGTAATAACGAGAAGAGGCTCGAGAAAGATGATAGGATGAGAAAAGAGTGAGAGAGAGTGTAGCTAACACCAACATTGTGAAGGTTGAGGATGTGAAGGTCTGGCAGTCACGTGTCACTTGAGTTCTCACCAACACGCTCCACACACTCCATTCATTACTCACGTGCCTACACCTGGCTCGCGTGTGTTTATACCTGGCTCGCGTGTGCCTACACCTGGCTCGCGTGTGCCTACACCTGGCTCGCGTGTGCCTACACCTGGCTCGCGTGTGCCTACACCTGGCTCGCGTGTGCCTACACCTGGCTCGCGCGTGCCTACACCTGGCTCGCGTGTGCCTACACCTGGCTCGCGTGTGCCTACACCTGGCTCGCGTGTGCCTACACCTGGCTCGCGTGTGCCTACACCTGGCTCGCGTGTGCTTATACTTGACTCACAAATATACAGAGTATTTGTCTAATGAACAAGTTTTAGGCTATATTCCTCAGCAAAATTTGTTGCTACAATATTATCCCGCCTCT